CTTTGCTCCCCCCCCCCCCCCCCCCCCCTCTCTCCCCTCAAGTGCAGGTCCTTACGGGTGCGTGTTTCCTGGCTCGGACGCACACAGGATCCATCCTGTACGAGTACGCACAGACGTGCAGGGCAGGTGAGCATACGGCCATGTAGTCCCATAGAGGACGGGGGCTGGGTACTAATCACACGCAGCACCTGTCCTTCCTGGGAGCTGCTTGGTACGGCCGTGCACGCAGCACAGAGCTGTATGTGTCGGCCGATTACCGTGTGAATGAGGGCGCATAAGACAAAGCCACTGCTATGCGTCACTGCTTCCTTATATCAGTCTGTCCATGTCCACCCTCAGCTAACAGGATACATGTTTAGTAATGTTATTGGGGGGCTCAGCTGATCTCTGGGGTATAAGCCCTGCCTCAAGAGGATGGGCAGCAGGCAAGAACAAAAACGGCCTTGGAATACAGAGCTCAGCTTAGTGTCCTGGAAGGTTGGTCACTGCAGTTTAGTTTAAGAAAGATTGTTGGATCTCCTGGTCTGGGGTATCCCACTGGTGTCATAACGGGCTCCGCAATCCTGGAGATTCACTACCACACTCCTTGTCCCAATGCATGTCTACTTTGCCCCTGTAGAGTGTTACACCAGACTCCCAATTCTAGAGTGTGACCCTAGGACAGGAAGTGTGACCCTAGGACAGGAAGTGTGACCCTAGGACAGGAAGTGTGTTACTGGCACAATCAGCAGGTGAAAACTAATGTAGCCATCTAAGGACCAGTAGGCTGCAATACATGACATTTTTATTCTTGGGTTGGCTTCTCTAGGCCACTGTGGGGTCTAAAAGGGGGAAGTCTTAGACAGGCATTCAATCCTTATCACTATCCTGCAGCCACTGGGCAGAGGACCTACCAAGGTGGAGCCATAGCACCAACATACTGCACAGCGCTGTATATGAAATAAGATGGAGTGTGGATTCCAGACATAAGCTGGAGAAAGAAGAGAGCTCCATCCCAACCAGTGTAGACTCTTGCAGTACAGTCTTCTCCTACACACGCTCTCCATCTTCAACATGCTTTGAGTTAGTTATCTGTCATCTACAGTCAATGGCTCTGGTAACAATACAGAAGCAAGTGGGGTCAGAGTGACAGCAACTGCTGATCTGTGCTTGGTCCACATCCATGACATGGGACCTATGAAAGCCATTTCCTGAACAAAGAGCCCCAGACAGATAACATTTAGGTACGGAGCTACCATTATGGGACCGGAGGAAGTACTCAATGGATCGCGCGTGCAGTGACATCACCATACTGTGCTCCACTGAGATCGGTCAGTCCCTCTGCTGCGGTGGCAGATAGGACTTCTCTTTCCATTCATAGAGCCCAGTAAATGAATCTGTGAACTGAAGAATCGGCTGTGCAGGCAGAGCCACACATAGCCATGGGAAC